AATAAATAAAATCTTTAAAAAAATACATAAATAAAATAAAAAAATAAAAAAGATTTTATTCATACATAATCTCTACACCCTTTGTGGGGCTCAAACTCACAACCCTGAGATCAAGAGTCTCACACTCTGCTGACTGAGCCAGCCAGGCGCCCCCAGGGTCATAGTTTTTAAGCAGATTTAGGCTTGGTCAAACTAACATGTACACTCGTGCAGTACCAAGCCCTTTCGCACATAGCACTGAGCTCAGTGCTGTGAGGAGCATAGCGTGTTCTAGCTGAGAACATTGGCTGTGACCTGCTTGAGATTGCACAGCTGGAAGCAGCAGAGCTAGGACTTCTGAACAAACTATTTTTCACTCTGCTGTGTTGTCTTCCTGTTCGTTTCTAAGACTCCTTCTGTCTCAGTGAGGTTATAAAAATGTTTAAGGAGCTAAAAAATCTAGGGGCGCCTGGGTGGCTCAGTCGTTAAGTGTCTGCCTTCGGCTCAGGTCATGATCCCAGGGTCCTGGGATCAAGCCCCACATCGGGCTCCCTGCTCCTTGGGAAGCCTGCTTCTCCCCCTCCCGTTTCCCCTGATTGTATTCCCTCTCTTGCTGTCTCTTTCTCTGTCAAATAAATACATAAATTCTTAAAAAAAAAAAAAAGCTAAAAAAATCTAGACCTAACATAGTATGATATTAATAGAGGGGCACCAGGCTGGCTCTGTCAGAAAAGCATATCACTCTTCATCCCGGGATTGTGAGTTTGAGCCCCATGTGGGGTACAGAAATTCCTTATAAAAAAAACACATTTAAAAATATACGTATCAAATAGAATAAAATACAAATTTTGATGTTAAAAAAATTAATTTGGGGCACCTGGCTTGCTCAGTCGGAAGAGCATGTGACTCTTGATTTCAGGGTCATGAGTTTGAGCCCCATGTTGGGTGTAGAGATGATTTAAAAATAAAATCTTTAAAAAACAAATTAACTCATCTTTCTTTTACCAGCCCTACTGCCATTGCCTATGTTCAGATCTAATCATTTTTCTCCGGGACTGTTGTAATAGCTAGTTTTCCTTCCATTCAGTTGTTTACCTTTTTCTCCCCCTTTTTTCTAATGGCTTTATTAAGGTATGTAATAAGCTGCACATATTTAAGACGTACCATTTGATGAAATTCAGCCTGCATACATCCTTAAAACCACCATCACAGTTAAGAAAATGGGCATATGCATTACCCCCAAAAGTCTCCTCATGCCCTTTGGTAGTTCCTCTCCTCCCCCCTCCTGTTACCTTCCCCTCCCTCCCATTGCCATCTCCAGGTAACTGTTGATCAGCTTTCTGTCACTTTAGGTTAATTTGCATTTTCTCAAACTTTATATAAATAGAATCAGACAGTATATACTGTTTCTTGTCTACTTTCATTCAGTGTAATTATTCTGAGATCCAGTCATGTCATGTGCATCGATAGTTCATTCCTTTCTGTAGCTGAACAGTAATCGATTGTATCACAATTTATCTTTTCGCCTGTTGGTGAACATTTGGGTTGTTGTCAGTTTTTGGCTATTACAAATAAAGCGCCTGTGAACGTTTGTGTACAAATCCTTGTATGAACATATGCTTTCATTTTCCTTGGATGAATATGTCAAAGTGGAATGGCTGGGTCATATGGTAGGTGTGTGTTTATCTTTTTAAGAAACCGTGGTCGGGACGCCTGGGTGGCTCAGTCGGTTAAGCGTCTGCCTTCGGCCTGGGTCAGGATCCTGGGGTCCGGGAATTAAGTCCCATGTCGGGCTCCCTGCTCAGCGGGGAGCCTGCTTCTCCCTCTGCCTGTCACTCCCCATGCTTGTGCTCTCTCTCTGACTCATAAATAAATAAGATCTTTAAAAAAAAAAAGAAAGAAACCGGCGGACTCTTCCAAAGTGGTTTTTACCATTTTACATTCCCATCAGCAGAGTGTAAGGGCTCTAGTTGCTATGTGTTCTTGCCAACACGTATGTGTGGTCTTTTCTCTTTTAGCTATCCTAGTAGGTATGTAATACATCATTGTGGATTTAATTTGCATTTCCCTAATGTCTGATGATGTTGAACACCTTTTTATGTGCTTATTTGCATCATGTTTTTGTGTGCATGAAGCCTCTTTTTCAAAAACTTTTTATCTTTTTTTTTTTTCAAAAACTTTTTATCTTGAGATGATT